GAATGAGGCAGAAACAGGAACTATGCTGAAGAGGACACTATCCAGACACAGCTTTTTAGAGCCACGTGACTCTAGGACCCGAATCCTTCACATGCTTGGGAGTTACCTGCACCCGAGGATTCATCCCAGGAGTCCTCAAGGTCACTGGTTTCTCGTATCCGGTCACTGATTCTTAGCTGACAATCCTCATCTGATTCCTTAACTGTTTTCAAGATAGGCTGATGTTCAGCTGCCTGAGTCCTTTTAGATTTTAGGATGCTGGTTCCCTCTTCCCCTGGGGCATCAGAGACCACAAAGTTCTGATCACAGTGCTTGGCCCAAGCAGCATCCTCCATTAAGTTGTCTGGGTCAGTCACTATCTGATTTCGGAGAAGCTGATCCAATGTATCATAAAATGGACAGTGTGGTGGCTCACCCATACTTGTGGCATGGGCAACATAGGCCTTTAAATACAATGCCTTCAGCACTTTAAACTTGGAGCGACACTGACGTTCGGTGCGGCGGAAGCCCTCCTGCTGCATTCGTTTAGACACAGCCTGATAGACATCTGCATTGTGATGCACAGTCTGGAGGCGCTGAATATACTCTGCCTCGCCTAGTATGGAGAGAAGAGTTCGTGTCTCCTGTCTGGACCACCGGATGCCCGCGCTGCTATTGGCATTGGCCATTGTGGGTTGGGAAGGAGGGCTGGGCAGCTTCTGGACAGCAAGGTGCAAGTCTGAAGGTGTGGGGAAGCTCTGTGTGCTCTCAGGATATCTCCAGGAGCCAGCTGGTTCTTCCCCGTCAGGGATAATTGCTGAGAAGCCAGGTCCAAGGACCGCATTTCTGGCTGGAAGGCCACAGGGGAATGAGAGTTACAGGAAGGGTGTAAGGATAATTTTGGCAGCAAGTTAAGTGGTGCTACCTGTGAGTAGGTCATCAATAGGCATGAGGCCAAGACTGAAAAAGCCCAACTGTGGGAGTTTACCAAGAGTAGACACCGCACCAAGGACTTAATGTCTTGGTAACAAAAGGGCCAAATGCTTCCATGGCTGAGAGTTGGCACAACAATGGATCTGTAAAAATCACCCTTGGCTGGTGAGTAAATAGGCTAGAGGGAAAATCACCTGGACCACAGGCAGCTAACTCTATAGGAGTCCAAGCATGACCACACTATAGCAATCTGAAAGATGCTCAGCCTTCACTAATCACAGCACACTACAGCTCTGTGTTACCCATCTGACTGTCACAATGGGACAGAAAAGTGAGTTTAAGCTCTGCTAAATACAAAGCTTTCTTGAACAATATGGCACAAGACAGCCACATCATTACTCTAACCATCAGCCCCTACCCGCCACAAAGCAGCACAAAAGAAACAGGAACATATTGTTGGCTACCAGCGGAGCGATCTAAGGAAATGTTCTGTATCTGGACTATATCAATGTGAGCATCTTGGTTGTGATATTGCACTATAGCTTTGCAAGATGTAACCACAGGAAGAAGTGGTGAATCCAGTAATGAGTTTAACGTCTCTGCATTATTTCTTACACAGCAGCATGGGAAGCTACAATTCATTCAAAAAATTTAATTAAAAAACAAACATACTGTTGGCTGCTCAGTGATTCAGGCTTTAAGACCCATCTACAACTCTTTTTTTTTAGGCTTTATGATATGAAAATACTTGACACCAACTTATATTTAATATGTTCAATACTAAGTTCTGTCAATAGGTAAAAGGATATGGGGATATATTTATTGTCACCAAATACTGAATTCTCTCTAAACAACTATAGTTTTTGGCTTAGTACACAAATATCCTAAGGAAAAAGATTAATATCAAGTTCAACTTAATTGAACACAGGTAAGAGATACAAAATAATTATAAAAGAAATAAATATTAAATTTAATCTCTAATATCCAAATTCTAAATCAATACAAAGACTTTTTTACTTAAATTCTCACTAAAAGAAGTTGGAAGAAAGAATCTGGGGCAGAGGTTGAGGAGATCTGACCTGCAGTCTTATCCAGTTTACCCTGAAAATAATGCTGTAATTTCTTTGTACCTTGATTTTCTCATCTATAAATGGACAACGATAGTATTTGCCTTGCCAATTTTATAAGGATGCTGAGAGGATTAGATAGATGTGAAAGCACTTTGAAAATTTAAAAACACTCTATCAAGCATTACTACAGTAGTGAAAAGGAAAACCCCTAATTATTATAGCAATCTATAATTTGAGGAGACAGAAGTCTGGGGAAGCAAGCCTCTTCTAATCTTAAAAAAACTTAATTAAAGTTACAACAGATGATTAATCTGATTCTTACATAAGACGTTAATTTAGCTGTTATTCTAATGATTAAATTTGTAAGTCATTGGGAAAAGTCAGTTCCCAGAAAGTGTCACAAAAGATCCTGAGGAAGAAAATCAATAGTGTCTACAAAAAATATAAACAATTGTAATAGATTCCGCAAAATTCAACCGCATTGCCAAAAAGTCTTCAAATTCTCACAAAATCTCTGAAATTCTCTTAAAAAAATCTAAAAATGTGAAAAATCCAAATTACTACCTCTGAATGACACAAACTACCAAAATTAAACGAATGTTGGTATTTATCAATACTAACAGACCTGTCAGCAAGAAACTAACATCTGAGCGACTCCCACACTGGAGAAGATCCAACACTAATAATCAAAAGAAACAGCCTACTGGGGGTACTCTCTGTAATGACTCAGTAATAAAAAGCAGTGAGAAAACAAACTATGCTGTTTCTAGTTTCATTTCACATTATGCCTAGAATTTATAAACATGTATCTATTACCATATTTTAAAGTATCATTTGATTCCATACCTTCTGCCCAGGATCTGCTTTACTTTCATAACTGTATTTGAAATATTTCTTATTCTATTTTGTTTTGCTGCCAACCCAACAATCTGAAAAAAAAAAAACCACATATATATGTACATACACACATATAAAACAATGAATGTAATTTTAAATTATTTTAAAAGCACAAAAATGAGGGGACTAGTACCTCTTCATTTGCTGAGTAAGCAACAACAGCTGGAGTAACTCGGTCACCGGCATCATTTGCAACCACACCAGCCCGGCCATCCTAGAGAAGAAAATACAACTATATTAGTTCTGTTGAAATGAAATACAGTCTCATTAGATGTATTCAGACGTGTGCACCAGTGTTACTTTGCTATCTGTGTGGAAAGAAATACCGCTCTATTAATATTTTAAATTCACAGATTTAATTATCATTTAATTTCCTGGTTTTTATAGAAGGCCTATAATTCCATGAAGAACTGCTTCATGTTTTCATTCTGCTCTGCAAAGTCAACAATTGAATCAAAAGTAATAATAACCTTTCTGTACACAAGACGAAGCCTGTTATTAGGTATTAGGTTACCTTTCCTACTTCTCTACTTACCTTTTTTTTTTTTTTTTTTTTTTTTTTTTTTTTTTTTTTTTTTTTTTTTTTTTTTTTTGTGACAGAGTTTTGCTCTGTGTCCCAGGCTGGAGTGCGGAGTGCAGTGGCAGATCTCAGCTCACTGCAACCTCTGTCTCCCGGGTTCAAGCGATTCTCATCCTCAGCCTCCTGAGCAGCTGGGATTACACGCCTAGCTAATTTTTTGTATTTTTAGTAGAGGCAGTGTTTCACCAAGTTGGCCAGGCTGGTCTCGAACTCCTGACCTCAAGTGATCCGCCAGCCTCGGCCTCCCAAAGTGCTGGGATTACAGGTGTGAGCCATCACGCCGGGTCCCTTTCTCCTTATTTCTACAAATGAAGTGGCATTATACCCTTGGCTTTTACTAACAAGTCATTTGACATTTAAACGCGGGACTAGTGGCAGCGCAGTTCATGATTATCGTTCCTTCTGCATCCCCATTGATGAGAGAAAGGCCACAAGTCCTGTCAAGCTCTCCCTTCCAGAAAGGCCACCTCTGTAGGGCATGCACAATCTGGCTTCCCAGCCAGGCAGCTTCACTGGACCATCAGCTCCAGCTACGTACTGCAGCCTCCCCGCCCCTCTTGGGCATAGACTTTAGGGCCCAGGGCAGCGAGTACTGCGGCCTTGCAGTCCCCAGGACCACCGCCTTCAAGTACCTCGCGGCCACGACTTCCCTAGAACCGCCCACCCACGGGAATCCTGAGGCCCAGACATCAGCGAGACCCCTTCCAGGATTCTGAGGCCAGGACGTCCCCATGACCGCCCCCCCAGAAAAAAAAGTCCTCGCAGCCCCCACGTCCCCAGGACTCCCCAGGAACCCAGCGGCCCCGCCGTCTCCGGGATCCCCCGGGCACCCAGCCACTCCGCCGTCCCCGGGACCCCCGGGCCTCCCGCGGCCCCGCCATCCCCGGGACCCCCCCGGGTATCCCCCGCCCTGACGCCCCTGGGACCCTGCGCGCCTGCGTCGCCAGGAGCCTCCGCCGCGTAGCAGAGAACTTTCTGGAGGAGCCGGCGGGGGCGACGCCGGGCCCGCCAGGCCCTCGGCCCGGAGTGTCCTCGCCACTCCACGACATCTCTAGGCGGGCGACACGTCGCTCTCAAGCCTGTGGATGACCCCGCGCCGAAGAATCGGGTGGCCGTCATGAAGCCGTAATCCAGCTCCGCGGCCCCTCACCTTATAGACGGCCACACAGGCTGAGGTGCAGCCCAGGTGAACTCCGATGGCCGCCATGAGGCGGCAGGGACGGCGGCGGCAGAAATGAACGGGTGCCCCAACAGCGGCAGCTACCAGCCGCCCTACGGCCCCATCAGGCTCAGCGGAGCTTCACGTTCCCGCCCGCCCCCTGCGTCTGGTCGCCGCCAATCAGCGTGAAGGTTCCGCCTTTCTTCACGTGCAGCCGGCGAGTAGCTTCAGCGCGTCTCTACGTGCTCGAGGCAGGGGGGCGGGGCGCGAGGAGGGGGGGAACTGCACGTGCGCAGGCGCAGCGGGGGAGGGCCGGGAAAGGCTCCTTCGCTCCGCCTCCTTCCTGCCCCTTCCGTGAAAGCCAATGGAAACTCTCAGTTCAGTTGCGTCACTTGTCCTGGCAACTAAGGGCAGATTCTTTCCAACCTCACACTCTACGCCTCAGCCCTCTTCCGCACCGCGGTGGGCGGTGGGCGCCGGTGGCGGAGGCGATTGAAGCTGCTGGTCTAGCATGTGGTGCGCGAGCCCAGCTGCCGTGGTGGCCTTTTGCGCCGGGCTTTGGGTCTCTCACCCGGTTCTGGCGCAGGGCCAGGAGACCTGGGGGCGGCCGGGGGCCGACTGTGAAGGTGAGCGGTGTGAGACCTGCTTGCATGGCGGCGGCCCCGCGCTGTAGCGCAGCTGCTGTCTGATTTGGCTTCTCCTGGCCCTGGCTATAAATAGCATTTCACCCAGGAAATGCAGGCCCTGCCCCTCGTTTTAGATCGCCCAAGCCCAGATGGAGCAAAAGCTCAAGCCCGGCCTGGTGGCAACGCGAGGCCACGTTGTGGTGTTGCTGTGAATATTAAACTTCAGCAGTAAAAGCTGGTGGGTTTGTATTTGGGTTCGAGTTTATGTAAAGACTGCTAGATTCAGATGATCCTGGCGCCAGATGGACTCTGCTGCTTCCAGCCAGCAAGATTTGCCTCCCCTTGTACAGAAGACGTCTTTCAAGTCCAAGCTAGCTGGTGACTTCCAAAAGGAAAACAAAACATGACGTTGAGTTGAGTGGCTTAAATCAGAGGACATAGCTAACATTTGTTAGGACTCTGTTGGCGAAAGTGACTTTACAAAGGAGTGCATTGACTCCTTGGGAGCGAGTACAATACAAAAAAGTGATTCCTTTTTGTTCACGGTATCTCAGCTGTGGACTTACAGTCAGAGCACGTGGGTCTGTCTCCCACCAAGCCCACTAGCTCTGAGACTTTGGATTTTGCAAAATCAGCCTACTTCACTTTAGAGATCTGTTAACAAAGAGAGGATTAGTGGCTATGCTAGTCCATTCCTTCTGGACTCCTGTAGCGCTCACTCTGTGTTTTATTTAAAATAATTAGTTTAGATGCATATACCCTGAGCTGGAAAATCTGTCCCTAGTGAACAGGGAATTGTAGGTTCATCATATAAGTTGAATGAATGGATGGGTATAGTCCGTACTAAAAAAAAATTTTTTTTTTTTGAGACAGAGTCTCACTGTGCTGCCAAGGCTGGAGTGCAGTGGCACAATCTCAGCTCACTGCAGCCTCCACCACCGGGTTCCAGCGATTCTCCTGCCTCAGCCTCCTGAGTAGTTAATACTACATATGCCACCACCACGCCCGACTAATTTTCATATTTTTAGTAGAGATGGAGTTTCATCTTGTTGGCCAGACTGGCCTTGAACTCCTGACCTCAGGTGATCGGCCTGCCTCAGCCTCCTAAAGTGCTGGGATTATAGGCATGAGCCACAGCGCCCAGTACTTAAAGTCTTAATAATTGGAGTCCGGCTTTCTGTCAGCTCTGCAATAATTAAACTTTTCTCCAGAAACTTATAATATCTACATGATGTTATTACTTGATATAAAGATATTTGTTTAGCTGAGTTATAATTTTGCTCAAAACTGTGCTATAATTGTGTCCTGTACTTTTAAAGCAGAATTTGTGAGGCAAAGACAATTGATTTGATGACTCATCTGTAGCTCCTGCTTGTAAACATTTCAAGAGAGACAGCATCTGGATTAATTAAATGGGAAGCTTATGCTGTGTCTGTGCTAAATTTATTACAGCATGCTGTGATTAACTTGCATGTCTGACTTGCATGTGTGTGTGTGTGTGTGTGTGTGTGTGTGTGTGTGTGTGTATTTCATTTGTTAGGTAAAGAAGCTGTATTATCGAATAGGAAGGACATAACAGTTTGGGAACTAGAAGAACTAGATTCTGCATCCAGCTCTTTTTTTTTTTTGAGATGGAGTTTTGTTCTCGTTGCCCAGGCTGGAGTGCAATGGCACCATCTTGCCTCACTGCAGCCTTCACCTCCGGGGTTCAAGCAATTCTCCTACCTTAGCCTTCTGAGTAGCTGGGATTACAGACATGCACCACCACACCCAGCTGATTTTGTATTTTTAATAGAGGTGGGGTTTCTCCATGTTTGTCGGGCTGATCTCAAACTCCTGACCACAGGTGATCTGCCCACCTCAGCCTCCAAAAGTGCTGGAATTACAGGCGTAAATCCAGCTCTATTACTGCTTGTGAGTGATCCTTCCTCCTCAGCCTCCTTTCTTATTTACAACTTAATTTCTTCTCAATGTATTTTGTTACATTTACAAAGCATTTTGAAAAAAATCAAATTCACTGGCTACATTTTAAAATTGGGAGATTTTATGTAAAAATTCACGTTTCTGGCTTTTCTCAAAAAACCAGATGACCTGGCAAGATTGGCCCATAGGGCCATACAGTGAAAACTGGCTATTGGCTGCTCTTTTTAGAAAGGACTTGGGTTTTGAGTTATTACCCGCCCCTACCCGGCCCTTGATCAAATTGCTTAACTCTTCATTTTCCTTGCCTGGCCCCTGTAGCTATTCAAGTTGGTGAGTCCTCCTGAAGCAGGAGCAGTGAGGAACAAACCTCTCGAACACGGAACTGAGGAAGAAAGTGGCTTTTTATTCGGCCGGGAGCTACGGGGGCGTGGGGGGGGGGTCGGTTACAGCCTCATTTACCGAGCTCCCCGAGAAGCATCTTCTCTCACCTTTTATAGGCTTACAACACTAAAGGCGAAACTGAGGCAAAACTGTCATTGTCCATTTGCTGGACGTCCGACCTTACAATCCTTTGGCTTTATTGATTTGCTAATTCATATGCAGTGTGAGCGGGGACCGGCAGGGGAGGGGGCTTACAGAGACAAGGCAAAGGCAGTAAACTATTAGTTGGCAGAGGTGTTTCAGGAGGGAGCCTGGACCATGCAGATGTGGGGGCATGACCCAGTGCCAGGCTCCAGACTGTAGGGATAACATTCATTTGCAACTTTTCCAAGGCCAACAGATAGCAGAGATGCTAGGAACTGAAAAGGGAGTCATCTTCCTAGCTCTTTGGTATTTTATTTTATTTTTTCTCTTTTTCACCCTCCTTCCCAACTGGAGGGGAGGGAGGGAGGGAGGGAGAAGGTGGAGACTGGGAAACAGAAGGAGGTGACGGGGGTGGTGGGGGGGTCTCCCCGTTACCACGTTAGCTAATGTGAGGTTTTACTGGAAAAATGTAAATATTTTTGAATCTCTTTTAAAAAATTATGGCTATTTTAAAAAACTTTTTATTTTAAAATAATTATAGATTCACTTATAGGATTACCTTTAATAAACATAAAACCACAACATAAATAAAAGAAGTATGGCTATCTGAGGTTATTTTAGCAATAAAGACGTCCCAGGAAACTTAAGAAGTTACTAATTTGTTAGGGCATTTATGGCTCTTCAAGTAAGTCCCAAAAATGAGTTTCCTTTCTTACCTTGACTTCTCTGTGGCATGTGACACCTACCATTGACATCTTTCCCTTTCAGAAACTGTCTTCTCTTCATGGTCGTGATACTGCTTTTTTCCTTCCTGTCTCTGTGCCCACTGTCCACTGTGTCTTTGCTTCTGGTTCTTTAGCCATAGCTTAAGATGTTCCAGGGCTCTGTCCTCCGCCTTTTTCTCTTCTCAGTCTACACACTCTTCTGGGCAACCCAAACCAACCAGTCTAATTAATCTCTAACCTTGCTTGGGCCTGGTGGCTCACATCTATAATCCCAGCACTTTGGGAGGCTGAGGCGGGCAGATCATGAGGTCAGGAGTTCGAGACCAGCCTGGCCAACATGGTGAAATCCTGTCTATACTAAAAATACAAAAATTAGCAGGGCGTATTGGCAGGCGCCTGTAATTCCAGTTATTTAGGAGGCTGAGGCAGGAGAATCACTTGAACCTGGGAGGCAGAGGTTGCAGTAAGCCGAGACAGTGCCATTGCACTCCACCCTGGGTGACAGAGCGAGACTCCATCTCAAAATAAATAAATAAAAATTAATAAATAATTATCTAACCTTATATCCACTGACCTTTCTAGAGTCCCAGGCCTTGCATCCAATTGACTACTAGTGAACATCCCCTCTTAGATATTGTATACCTCAACATCAACACAGTCAAAAAACCAAAGTTATCATCCCCTTCCTGTCTTACTCCCCTAAACCTGTTACTGTCATGCTTACGGTGACAGCATGGGTCAACCAACCTAGATTCTTTCTCCCTTTTCGCTTACAGCAAATCTATCACTGAATCGTTAATTCTGCCTCCTGGCTGGCCCTGCCCTTTTCTCTTTACCCAGGTCCAGGACCTCCTTACACACAGACCTTCCCCAGTTTTCCCCTCCTCATTGTCAAAACAGTGTTCTTCCTGCTACCTGTCTCCCTTCCACCTAGTTCCCTGGGAGGGCTATTAAATTACTTCCTTATTTAGTATCTTTCAGTGGTTTCCAAGTTTCCTCCAGGTGCCTCTCCTTTGTCTTCCCACAGCATCAAATATACTTCTCATATTGTTTAGGTCTCCTCTGAAAGTGCGCTCTGAAAGTCAAGACAGGGTCTCTCACCACATCCTTTCCAGCGGCTACCGTAGTGCGTGGTGTATGGTAGGAACCCAGTTTGTTGAAGAAATGTATGCATATATGCTGTGTTAAAATGTTGGATATCTTTCAGTGAGTCAAATGTAGATCTTGAAAAGGACAAGTTAGTATTTCTAACCTTCGTCACCTAGATGATACATTGGCAGAGTGATAGTTGAGGTGTAGAAATCATATGAAGGTATACTGTGGGAAATACAGTCAGAGAAATGAGGCACTGCAATACTGGGGTTTTTTTTTTTTTTGTAGGAGGCAAGAATTAGAGGTTCCTAGGAGACTTTGATGATAGTTTGTTTCTTTCTTTTTCTTTTTCTTTTGAGACAGAGTCTTGCTCTGTTGCCCAGGTTGGAGTGCAGTGCCACAGTCTCAACTCACTGCAACCTGCGTCTCCCGGGTTCAAGTTATCCTCCCTCCTCAGCCTCCTGAGTACCTGGACTACAGGTGCATGCCACCACACCCAGCTCATTTTTTGTATTTTTAATAGAGATGAGGTTTCACTATGTTGCCCAGGCTGGTCTCAAACCCCTGAGCTCAAGTGATCCACCTACTTCGGCCTCCCAAAGTGCTGGGATTATAGGCATGAACCCCTGTGCCTGGCCTGATGATAGTTTCTGCTGACTTGTAGCATTGATCATTACAGTGGGTTTCTTCTTTGCATACTGGATATATTTGCCAGTTAAACTCAGCAAAATACATATTGAGAGAGATCTCATTTTTCACATTTAACACAGCAGATGCATTACACATGCCTTTTAACACTGTCTTCACTTGCCTTCTGGAATACCACTCACCCTTTGTTCTCATCCTACCTCACTGGCTGCTCCTTTCAGACTTTTTCTGGTTCTTTTCCATCTTCCCAATTTCTAAGCATTGAGGTTTCACAAGGCTGCAGTCCAGGACTGTCTCTTTTCCATTTCTCCTTACTTTGTAGTCTCATCTCAAAAACACCATTAGAATGTCGATGACTTGAAGATTTATTCACCCTAGATCTTACACCTGATCTCCAAATTTATATCTATCTAGCTGCCTTCTCACTCTTTCCAGTTGGATGTTATATTAGTCAAGGTTCTCCAGAGAAATAAAACCAGTAGGACCAAAGAGAACATATAATCTGTCTATATCTATATATCTCCTTAATATCTATAATATTTATATAAAAAGAGATTTATTATAAGGAATTGGCTCACAAGATTATGAAGGCTAGGAAGTCCAAAGTCTGCATTGCGGGCAAGCAGGCTGGAGACCCAGGAGAGCCCATGGTATGGATGAAGCCTGAAGGGAGTCTGCTGGAGAATTTCCTCTTGGTGAGGGAGACTGGTCTATTTTGTTCTATTCACGCCCTCAACTAGTTGAGTAAGGACCACTCACATTATGGAGAGCAATCTGCTTTACCCAGAGTTCATCAATTTAAGTGTTAATGTCATCCAAAAATATCCTCTAAGTTGCTACGTAAAATTAACCATCACAGATGTCTAGAAGTATCTTGAAGTTCATATGTCAAGACTAGATTCTGGCCAGGTGTGGTGGTTCACACCTGTAAGCCAGCACTTTGGGAGGTTGAGGCAGGCAGATCCCCTGAGGTCAGGAGTTAGAGACCAGCCTGGCCAACATAACAAAACCAGTCTCTACTAAACAATTAGCTGGGTGTGGTGGCAAATGCCTGTAATCCCAGCTACTCAGTAGGCTGAGGCACAAGAATCACTTGAATTTGGGAGGTGGAGGTTGCAGTGAGCCGAGATCACGCCACTACACTCTAGCCTAGACGACAGAGTGAGACCGCATCTCAAAAAAAAAAAAAAAGAAAAAAAAGGCTGGATTCCTATTTGTCACCATAAACTTGCTTCTCCTGCAATCTTTCTCATTTCAGCAAATGGCAACTCAACAGTTCCAATTTCTTTTTTTTCTTTTTTAAAATTTTATTTTATTTTATTTTTATTGTTTAATCGGCCCCACAGAGGCAGGGCCTCAAAAAATTGGATTAAGACTCAGAATTGTTCCTCTCCACGGAAATCTTTAGTAAAAGGCAAAATATTTATACGATTTAAAGAGAAACCACAGTTCCAATTTCTCGGCCAAATTATTGGGATTATCTTTGATTTCTCTCTCTCTCTCCCCGGCTCTAACATGTTACATCTGGGTCATTAGTAAATTCTTTTTGCACTTCCTTCAAGATACGTCCAGAGTGCAACCACTTCCCATCACCTCTATAGCTATTACCCTGATCTAAGAGATGCAACTGTTTTGAGACCCTCTAAACTGGTCAGCTGGTCTCCCTGCTTTCTTTCCTGCTTCCTTGTAGTTCATTCTTCAGCGGCCTTCAGAGACGTCCTTTATGAATCATGTCAGAGCATAGCTCTTCTCTACTCAAAACCTTGAATGGCTTCCCTTCTCAGAGTGACATCCAGACTCTTTACCATGCTTGAAAGGACCTCATTGCCCCGGCATGCTGCTGCCTATTTGATCTCTTTCGCTACTTGTCTCCCTCCTACTTTAGCCACGCTGGCCCCCTGGCTGGTCCTTGAATCCACCAAGGACACTCCTGCATTCGAGCCTTTGTATTGCTGTTCCTTCTGCCTGCAGAGTTCTTCCTCAAGTCATCCACTTAAATTGTTCTTCCACTGCCTTCAGGTGTCTGCTCGACCATCACTTTATCTAAGAGACCTTTCCTAACCAACTTATTTAGAATCAAACTGTTACCTTGTCACCCTCCATCCTCCTTACCATGGTTATCTTTCCTCTTGGCTACCTATACCTTTATTTGTTCTATCAGATGTAACTCTCATGGGCAAGGACTTTGTTTTCTTCATTACTGAGTCTCAAGAACCTAGAATACAGTTTTGCATGTATTCTACAGTGACTAGTCGCTTAATAAATATTTGTTAAAAACACCAGTGACTGGCTATTATATTTAGTATTCTGTTCATGTTAATAGCATTAGAAATACGAGGTCCAGCGCAGTGGCTCCCACCTGTAATCCCAGCGCTTTGGGAGGCCGAGGTGGGTGGATCACGAGGTCAAGAGTTCGAGACCATCCTGGCCAACATGGTAAAACCCCGTCTCTACTAAAACTAAAATAATTAGCTGGGTATGGTGGCACGCACCTGTAGTCCCAGCTACTCGGGAGGCTGAGGCAGGAGAATCACTTGAACCTGGGTGGCAGAGGTTGCAGTGACCTGAGATCAAACCATTGCACTCCACCCTGGTGACAGAGCAAGACTCCGTCTCAAAAAAAAAAAGAAAAAAATATATGACCTTTAGGCTCTAAAAGATGACATGACTGGCCAGTCATCTGAAAATACTGGATAAAATGAACAATGTGAAAATATTTTCAAGTATGAGTTGGGCGGGCATACCCAGAAACCAACAACGAAGTGGAAGTGTGAGTCCAGTGGGTTGAAGGGAGCACTGAAGCTGGATTTACCCTGGAGCATTTGTTAGCCAGGTGATCTGAACTAAAGTGTTTGTGGTTCGGGCTAAATGAAGACAAATCCCAGGCATTTCCAAGTGAGGAGTGCGAGAGCAGATCCTCTCCCAATTAATTCAGGGCCCCAAAGACCAAGCCCTTCATTATAAAAGGTGAACTGAAAATAACTACAACCTATTTCCGTCTTTAGAGACTAAAAGAAATGGTTTAACTTGAACGTTTTACTGAATAAAAGGAAAAACACAGCTCTTTCTTGATAACTCGTAATTATGAGCTCATTCACATAGGGGTTGAAGACCCCATTCACACTACGCAGATGATCTGAAATATCTCAAACTGATAATTTAGTTGAAAGTGATTTTAAGTAGATCGTATCCTCAGGCATCAGCAAATGTGAGTCTTGCTTTTATTTTGTTTTTTGAGACAGAGTTTCGCTCTTGTTGCCCAGGCTGGAGTGCAATGGTGTGATCTCGGCTCACTGCAACATCTGCCTCCCGAGTTCAAGCAATTCTCCTGCCTCAGCCTCCCAAATACCTGGGATTGCAGACACCTGCCACCACTCCTGGCTAATTTTTGTATTTTTAGTAGAGACAGGGTTTCACCATGTTGGCCAGGCTAGTCTTGAACTCCTGACCTCAGGTGACCTGCCCGCCTTGGCTTCCCAAAGTGCTGGGATTACAGACATGAGCCACTGAGCCGAGCCAACAAATGTGAATCTTACTTACAGGAACCCACATTCAACCTAGTCCTCAAATAATTTATACAGTTAAAGGTCTAAGAAATAGAGCTCCTATTTTAAAAAGTCACGAACCCCTAGGTAAGAAGGGCACAATAAGTGATGGCCAGTTGAGACAAAAAACAGAAGAGGCACACCCTGCAATGGCTTCAGGTATGGAATAATCAGGCATAGCAGTTATGTTTTTAATTAATTAATTAATTCCTTTATTTATTATTTATTTTTTTGAGACAGTCTTGCTCTGTTGCCCAGGCTGGAGTGCAGTGGCACGATCTTGGCTCACTGCAACCTCCGCCTCCCGGGTTCAAGCAATCCTCCTGCCTCAGCCTTCTGAGTAGCTGGGACTACAGGTGCGTGCCACCACATCCAGCAAATTGTTTTTTGTATTTTTAGTAGAGACGGAGTTTTACTGTGTTAGCCAGATTGGTCTTGGTATTCTAACCTCGTGATCCACCCGCCTCAGCCTCCCAAAGTGTTGGGATTATAGGTGTGAGCCACCAAGCCTGGCCCAGAAATTGTTTTTCATGTTTAAAGAAACATAGAACATAAACCTAACCCATCCCTACCCATAGGGGACTATAAGGAAATTTACCTTGACACTGAGCAAAGTAGAAAAAAGAAAAAATACATATCACTGAGAGATGATAACAACAAAATATCCCTCAATTGTATCTGCTCCCAAAATTCACATCAGAGGTCCAAAAACTTCAAGCAATATATTTAGTTTAAAGCAATGCCTGGCTAGTTGCCCTTAGACCCTGAGAAATACAAACACAAATCCTTACTGGAAATAATGCTCCTTTATCTCGGGCTTCAGACAATCTTCACAAATAAGTTTTGAGGGCTGTGAGTATCGTGTAGTAAAAAATAAGCAAGCACACAAAGAACACACCAGGAACAAGAAACTATAGAAATAACAACACATAGAAATGTACTCTGGGCCAGGCGTGGTGCTCACACCTGTAATCCCAGCACTTTGGGAGGCTGAGGTGGGTGAATCAGGGGGTCAGGAGTTCGAGACCAGCCTGGCCAACATGGTGAAACCTCCGTCTCTACTAAAAATACAAAAAATTAGCCAGGTGTGGTGGCATACACCTGTAATCCCAGCTACTTGGAGGCTGAGGCAGGAGAATTGCTTGAACCCGGGAGGTGGAGGTTGCAGTGAGTCGAGAATGTTCCAATGCACTCCAGCCTGGGCGACAGAGCAAGACTCTGTCTAGAGGAAAAAAAAAATACTCTGAAGACTTCAGACATGGATCATAAATAATTATGTTTAGTGTGTTTAAAGATATAAAAACAAGCTTGAAAATATTGTCAAGAAATAAGAAACTAGAAGAAAGGACCTAACAAGTCTACCACTTTAGCCTCTTCAGTAGCTGGGACTACAGGTGTGCGCAAAGACAATCTCACTGTATTGCCCAGGCTGGTCTCAAACTCTGGTCTCAAGCGATCCTCTGGTCTTGGTTTCCCAAAGTGTTGTGATTACAGGCGTAAGCCACCGCACCCAGCCTGATTTCACTTTAGGCTCACAATGATGGAACATAAAGACTTATGCAGACCACCAAGGGGCTTCACTCAAGATTCTTATTCAGGTTTTTCTCTGTGCTTACAATTATGCTATCTCAAGGTGATAGCCTATAGATAGCTATTTTTTATTTTAGGGTTAGCCAAATTTTGTGAAAAAGCTATCATTTTAGGTAGAACTTGGTTCCAATGATTGATTGATTCAATAAGCTGATATGACATGCATTTAGGCCTAATACTAAACTAGTAGCAACGGGCCTGAAATCATTCTTTTTATTTATATTTTTTATTTTCTTGAGACAGAGTTTTGCTCTGTCACCCAGGCTGGAGTGCAGTGGCTTGATCATAGCTCACTGCAGCCTCCATATGCCGGACTTAAGTGATCCTCCCACCTCAGCCTCTCGAGTATCTGAGACTACAGACATGCACCACCATGCCTGTTTTTTTTTTTTTTTTTTTTTTTTTTTTTTGTAGTAGTAGAGACAAAGTCTCACTATATTGTCCAGACTGGTTTCAAATTCCTGGGCTCAAGTGGTCCTCCTGCTGCTGCCTCCCAAAGTGCTGGAATTATGGGTGTGAGCCACCATGCCCGGACCCAAAATCAGTTGAATCCATTGATATGCGGCATTGAGCCGTATGGATTTTTTAATGTGGTTAGCGGGTGATACGCATAGGGGTGGTGGTGGTGAAGTTGTACATGCAGACATATTTGTTTGTTCCTTCTAGTATGTAAAGAATTCTTGAACCGATTCTACAAGTCACTGATAGACAGAGGAGTTAACTTTTCGCTGGACACTATAGAGAATGAATTGATCAGCTTTTGCTTGGCTACCAAAGGAAAAGAAAACCGCCTGGTATGGTAAATTTCACCTTTCATTTTTCTCATGTGCTTGAAGAAAACTGCTAATAGTTTCATTTCCCTTCTTAGACGTGATGTTCTCCTGTGTGATGTTTGCCTCAAGCATGTCCATTGTAGAGCACGCAGCAGGCAGAAACCCGTCTTCCAGTGACATGTAGCTCTATGTGTTTTCATCCAGAATATTTCCAGTTGTACTTTGCTTTCTGAGTATACCACAGACAACCAATTCTATGCTTTCTTTTTTCGAGACAGAGTCTTGCTCCGTTGCCCAGGCTGGAGTGCCGTATCGCGATCTCGACTCACTGCAACCTCCATCTTCTGGGTTCAAAGCATTCTCGTGCCTCAGCCTCCTGAGTAGCTAGGATTACAGGCATGTGCCGCCACACCCAGCTAATTTTGTATTTTTTGTAGAGACAGGGTTTCTCCATGTTGGCCAGGCTGGTCTTGAACTCCTGACCTCAAGTGATCTGTCCATCTTGGCCTCCCAAAGTGCTGGGATTACAGGCATGAGCTACTATGCCCAGCCCAATTCTATGTTTTCTTAAATGGAATTATGAAACTGAATTCCTAATGAGAATTTACCATCCTGAGTTAAGAGTGAATGGGCTTTCCATTTCTTACCAAGACAATTAGACAAACTTATCAAAATATTTTACATTATTATTTATACACAATTAATGAAGTATTTATATTTTCTTCTAATGAGATGAATATGATGTTTCCTGGGTATACGCATATGGCTTGTTTCAATACACTGCTTTATACCACTAAAGACAATTTTGGGCCAACTCCTTTTTGCCTAATATTGTCAGATTGTCAGTTACATCTGCATGTTGACTGGTCACCATGGATGTGTTGTAAAGCTCATGCCATTTATCCGTATCATTAAGGTCTTTCTATCTATATTATTTTGAGACAGGGTCTCCCTCTGTCTCCCAGGCTGGAGTGCAGTGGTGTGATCTTTGCCATCTGCAGCTTCAACCTCTCGGGCTCAAGTGATCCTTTGACCTTAGCCTTGCAAGCAGCTGGGACTACAGACACATGCCACCACACCCAGCTAATTTTTGGATTTATTTATTTATGTTTGGAGAGTCAGGGTTTTATCTTGTAGCCCAGACTAGCCTGGAACTCCTGAGCTCTAGCGATCCACCTGCCTTGGTCTCCCAAAATGCTGGGATTATAGGTATGAGCCACTATGCCCAGCCAATGTTTATATTTTTAAATGTAAAATTCTGAAGACAGGGAACTTGAATGTCAGAATTGCCTGATAGAAAAAGACATGGGCTCTAGAGCCAGTGTGCTGGACTTTATAATTCTGTCTGTTCTATTGCTAGATCGGGGGATCTTCAGTTGGCTTGGGTATAAAATATGGATAATAACAGTACTTACTTCACAGGACTGTTGTGACGCATAAATAAGTTAATACCTTAAAACATTGAGAGCAGCACCTGACACAGAGAAAACACTTAGTGTGTGTTAGCTCTTCTCATTAGTCTTTTAACACCATGTGAATTGTAGGCACTTCTAATTAGGATGATCACGAGAACAGAGTCGCTTGTTTCCTGGCGGCTTAGTCAGCAGAAGTTAAAATTTAATAGCTGGACCAGGAAAACGAGGTTAACCT